GCGTTTACACACAGGCGCGTTTACACACAGAAACTTGTATATTCTGTTTTTGACATCAAGCACATGATAGCATCGAGCTCTGTTGCAAACGTTTGCAGACATTTCACTAGTGAGGTGTCACATGTGTGATTTACAGCATCATGGTACCGATCTTTTTTGGGCCATTTATGTGGGATTTTCCATCATAAAATGAAATAACATGTGTCATACACGGCATCATGGTACCGAGCATTTTTTTAATATAGATTGTGTGGGATGTTCCCAGAATAAAATGAGATAACGTATGTCATTTACTGCATTATGGTATTGGACCTTTTTTTGTGGAAACGTTTGCAGACATTTCACTAGTGAAGTATTGTCACATCTGTGCTGACATTTGACACACTAGTGAATATACGTATGACATTTTAAACACAGACGCTTCTACACACAGACACTTTTACACACAGACACTTTTACCCACAGAAGCTTTTACACACACACGCTTTTCTTTTACACACACACACACACTTTTACACACAGAGGCTTTTACACACAGACGCTTTTACACAGAGACTTTTACACACGGACGCTTTTACACACAAACGCTTTTACACACAGACGCTTTTACACAGAGACTTTTACACACAGACGCTTTTACACACAGACGCTTTTACACACAGACGCTTTTACACACAGACGCTTTTACACACAAACACTTTCACACACAGAGGCTTTTACACGCAGAAGCTTTTACACACAGACTCTTTTACACACAGACGCTTTTACACACAGAAGCTTTGACACACAGACGCTTTTACACACAGACGCCTTTACACACAGACGCTTTTACACACAGACCCTTTTACACACAAACGCTTTTACACACAAACGCTTACACAGAGATTTTTGCACACAGACGCTTTTACACGCAAACGCTTTTACACACAGACGCTTTTACACACAGAAGCTTTTACACACAGACACTTTTCATGCAGACGGTTGCAAACACAGACGCTTTTACACACAGACGCTTTTACACACATACACTTTTACACACAAACGCTTTTACACACAGACGCTTTTACACACAGAGGCACTTACACACAGAAGCTTTTACACAGAGACTCCTTCACACACAGACGCTTTTACACACAGAAGCTTTTACACACAGACGCTTTTACACACAGATGCTTTTACACACAGACGCTTTTACACACAGACCCTTTTACACACAGACGCTTTTACACACAGACACTTTTACACACAGACGCTTTTACACACAGAAGCTTTTGCACACACACACACACACTTTCACACACAGAGGCTTTTACACACAGACGCTTTTACACACGCACAGAACGCTTTTACACACATACGCCATACGCTTTTACACACAGATGTTCCCACTTCCAGCAGGCGCGGACAAATGCACGGGACCACCGCTCAGCAAATTCTCTACGTCCCCCAACTTCTCATTTTGATGTCGTGTCAGCTCCGAGAACCTCAAAAGTTCCTTCTCGCAGAAGAATGTTTTGTCTAAGCGCACCTGCCACTTTGCAGTGAATGCTGTGGCCAGGCCTTTGTTGACAGCAGATTCCAAGTCGGAATTAAGCACTTTGTTCCTGACATCTTGGAGTACTTGGATTGATTCAATTTTGAGCCTACTCGCCAACACAGGTGTGCCATCTGGAAAAATAAACTCCTGAAGCTTCTCCACTTTGAATCCCTGTTGTTCACTTTGTTCCTGCACTTCACTCGATCCTTTCTTCACTAAATCCGTAAACACTTCTCGGCCAACTTCTGCAACCATCTTTGAAATCAAATCAGCATGCCGTACACAATCGGTGGATAAAATCTCCCCAGTCTGTGACCGAACCACCCACAAGTTGTAAGGATCCTTTGGATCTTTTGGTATTGCGCGTGGGACAGCTAGTAAGGTACCTTTCCACCACACCTTGCCGTCAAAAGCATCTACGTGGGTTCCAACCTTGAATTCCTCTTTGAGGAAATGTGCGACATCAATGCAATCATATTCCCAAGGTTTTTCATCCTCTCCTTTGTCCAGCATCTCCTTCTTCTTCTTCTTGTTTAGATACGCAATCTCGCACTTTTGCGAACCTCCACACCCTTTTCCGCCCCAGAGGTCAACATCTTTCAGTTCATCCCACAAAGAGATTTGGCCGGAATAGACAAGCGCTTACTTCACTTTTTTAGACGCAATTGCTGTCTCCATGATCAAACTGTCGGAAATTAGCTTACCAAGATTGCTGCCACATTTTTCCACAAACGACCATTCCAAGTGAATAATTCACTTTGAATGGAGCAACTTACAAACCCCAGATACTCTGCCGAATTCGCGGTGGTCGATCAAAGACATCAAACTAAACGACGGCTGGCCCGAGAGCGAGTAGGTGTATAGGTACACATTTGTGTCATGTAGTTGTATGATTTGCAGCTGCCAAAGACGTACATGAATATGTTCATGAGAATGCTATTTGAGATCATGTGAATATGTTCATCGTGTGTAGATGTCAAGATAGGAAGATGTGAAGATGTCAGGGTTTCAGTTGCAAGAGACAGACAAGGTATGCTGTATAGAAGATGCGAAAAATACAAACATACAGAAATGCTGATAGGCTCTCACACACAAACCCACACACACGCACAGAAACTTTTACACACAGAAGCTTTTACACACAGGCGATTTACACAGATGTGTTTACACGCAGACGCTTTTACACACAGACACTTTTGCACACACAAACGCTTTATACACGCAGAAGCTTTTACACCCACACACACACACACACGCGCGCGCGCTCACTTTTACACACAAACATTTTTACACGCAATATTTTTACACACAAACGCTTTTACACACAAACGCTTTGATACACAGACCATTTTACACACAAACACTTCAAACGTTTTACACACAGGCCCTTTCGCACACAACGACTTTTACACACAAACGCTTTGACACACAGACCCTTTTACACACAAAAACTTTTAACGCAGACCCGTTTACACACAAACAGTTTTAATTACACACAAGCACTTGTACACGCAAACCCTTTAACAGGACCAACAAAACTCGCAAAAAAAAACAGTTTTGGACACTCGAACCTCGTTTCGTGCAAGAGGGTTGCCGCCGGACCAACCAAACTCGCAAAAAACCCTCAGTTTTTGACACTCAAACCTCGTTTCGGCACCACCCTGCTGGCACAATGTACCTTTATCTTATTATTGGGCCAAACTGTTGAGCCGCGGGAAATGGATTTTGAGACAGTCTATGACTATGCCGATGCAGGAACAGGCAAGCTCCTGCAAGTGCGAGAGCAAGCCACGGCAGTCTGCTACAGCAAAACTAGGCATCTTTCTGCATCGCTGCGTGGGTGAAAAGATGTGAAAAGTTGCGCCTATCCCGATGAATCCGATGAATGCAAGCTTTGAGCATATCACAATTTGCACCAGCCAGGCCGGAAGCGCAACAGGAGACGTAGGCTCTGCTTTGAAATCTTGAAATGCATGCGTGCCTAGAGACGGGGATAGTTCAATTGTAAAAGAACATTGCAAACTGTATCAATGGAGCTCATATCATCACATGCACCGTATGTTGGTCTGTTATACCGTGCCCAGGAAAAGATGCCTTAAATCATTTTAAACCATGTATAAAATACCCCTTCAAAATTCGTTAATTTCCACCAAAGGAGTGCTGTCCAGGCTGCTGCAATTGCTATCGAGGCATCTGCGACGGGAAAATCTCCACTGACCGCTGGAGTGCTTCGGTGCTGGAAAATCATGTGCAGCTGCAATATGCTGATCAATATGATGCTATGCACATGTTTGATGATGACTATCAATATGCTGCAATGATCTGCAATGTTTGATGACTACTTTTTATTGTCAGCACCGGAACTTTCAACCTCTTTCATTGTTCAGTTGGACGCAGGTGAAAGCACAAGTCCATGCCATGCGTCTCACTTCTTGTAGGCACTGGCATATGCCAAAACAGCGCCATAGTTTCCAAACCTGGGAAGATCGGCCAGACTTTGCCAATAACCTCCCAGACCATGGCTATTTTCGGAGTAGAACATACGATGGAACGTACCCGTCATACCCTGAGGCAGCTACTTCAACTCACAATCGTCCGCAAATTTGGCCTCAGTTGCTGTGAAAAAGGCACTGGGGCCAAAAAGGTCTGCCAGAGTCTGCCGCATCTTTCAGGTCGTGGCGTTGTGGTGAACCTCACCGATGTCATCACAATCCTCCAACTCATGCAGAAGCCTCCTGGGGAGCATCCAGCAGATGGATCAGATATGATCAGATGGTGGGAGGTTGATAGCTTCCGATAGCTGCTGATAGCTTCCGATAATATGCTGCCAAGCTTCATGACTTCATAACTCTGTTCGTGGCTAAGCTGCGCCTCCGAGCCAAGCTTCCGCTTGGAAAAGGGAAGGAAACTTGGCAACGGTTGACCTGGATATATCTGAAGAATGAGGCTGACTCCTGATTCGCTGTCCAAGGGCTATGCTGTACTTTTCTGAAGGAACTGACAATTGCCATCGCCATGCCATCGCCATAACATTCTATGACATTCTATAACAAAACCCCTAAACCCCTCAATCTAAGCAGTGAATCTAAGCAGTGAATCCAAGTGCATCTGATGGCCTTTAAAAAAAGCTCTGAAGCTGTGCCTCCACCTCGACACGCCTCTGAACTTCTGACTTGCTGGGCTCTAAGCCTACGAAAAGCAAATGGGTCACCCTCCCTGCTTCCAAGGATTGAACAAGCGATTGAACAAGCGATTGAACAAGGTTGCAAGCCATTCGGCATCATTCGGCCATTAGCGATTTCTGGCCTGCTTCTTCAAAGGCTGTGACAGTTGCATGGAAATCTGAAGGCAGCGTGGTCACCTGCCATGAATATCATGAATCAAGTCCGACAAGCCAAGTATGCCAAATTTCAAAAGAATCAATCCAGGCCCAAAGACTGTCGCAAATAGGCTGCACATCTTTCTCTCGGCGACCGGGCTGCAGTCAGCCACTAAGCGATGCACAAATTGTGGCATCCGGCCTCCACACGGGTGGCCTTGAAGCTGGCCGCGGTTGTGTCACATCATGGCACTATGTCCCGGCCATCGGTGGTATCACCAGATTCCAAGCCCTTGAGCCACTCCAAAGCCCCTCGCTTTGACAGCAGGCGGTTGTACTCTCTGCAGTGCGAATCGATGATGCATCTTGGGCATCCATTTTCACATGGACAGTCCTCAACTAATCGTCTGGCCTCTCGCAAGATGGCAAAACCATGTGGAAATGCTGCATCGCACAATCCCAACCCCCCATCTTTGGCATCAAAAATCATCAGCCGCGGTCGGTCCATGGGTGGCAAACCATGCTCGTCCACACAGGCAGCGTCCAGATCTTGTCGGTCAGCCAGGACAAAGAGCGGGAAGACCTGCAGCAACGCGTGCATCGCGGCATGGGCTCCGGCCCAACCACAGCCCCAGCCATGGCCAGGAGTTTCTACTTGTGGATCTCCCAGGTCCCGTTCTGGTCGTGCAACACCCAGGGGATCTTCAAACCATAAGCCACGGCTGGTGTAGCCCCAACTGGGAAGGTTCAGTTCAACTTCTGCTTCTTGTGGCACATCTTGTGATTTCCAGAATCTCTTGAAGCTCTTCACCCGACTTTCAAGCTCCATTTCGCCCAAAAAGACCTTGGCTTCACCTGACACTGCATGCCGTTCTCGGGTCTGAATTCGCACCACGGTGGAATCAAAAGCGCGGGTGTAGTATGGTAAAGGTGCATCGCACTTTTTCACCAAAGCACGTCGGCGGTTCACGTCCAGATTCATGACATTGTATTCGGAGCCTCTGTAGCGGTAAACTGCTCCAGGATGCAGCGAGTAGAAGGCCTCAGGGCATCTCAGGGTTCGAACCGAGGGGAGTGCCCACGTACATATCGTACACACATACTGTAATATCTTTGAACTTTCGCAAACTAACAGGTCTCACCATGTCCCGCAGCCATAAAATGGCAAAGTTTGCCTGTGACCGACTACGGTGCCTTGGAGATTTCGATTTCATCCAGCTTGCGCAGGGCCGCTTCAGCGGGACCCATGTCACGCCTGCAGTCCAACTGTTGCGGAAGATGCGGCAATGACCCAAACTTCAAAAACTGTTTCATTACCTTCACAAGTCTAACACTTTAACATATAGTATATTTAATATATATATATACATATATATATATATATCATATAATGTATCTCACCAAGATATTCCAACCAAGCTATGGGTAGGGGGCAAGTTTCGTTTCAGTCCAGCAGGACCAACAACTCTAATACTTTAACATATAATACTGCATGTATATATATATATATACACATTATATTATATATTATATTCCCATCCAAACACACACACACACATATATATATATAATATATATAAGCATATGTATATGATGTGATTATATTAATATATATATATATGTGTGTGTGTGTCAACATGTTCCCATACAAATGACAGGATAAATAAACTTCAATTTGAAGGGTACCAGCCCCAGCCCCTGCCTGGGTTCTGCCAGGAAGCCACCTGCCTCCTCTCTGGGTTCACTGGATGTTTCCATTTCTTCAAAGACTTGGAAATGATCCTGGCACCAGCATGGCTTTGAAAATGCATAAACATATCCCAAAAAAAACAAACTCAGATTGATGATGGCTTGATGGCTTGATGGTTTGATGATGGTTGATGATGGTTGATGATGGTTGATGATCTCTCTTGCTGGAGTTTTTTCTGGAATGCGGGCCGAACTTGGGCATCGAATTTTGGTGAACCTCCACAGATCACCGAGATCATCACCGATCCGCCCCTCCTCGACAGCACGGATGCTGATGGCCCGATGGGGTCCACGGCGAAGGCCCCAGAATTTCGCTGGAACGAATTTGGAGGTCTCTGCTCCTTGAAACCGTTCCACACGCTGCTCCAATGTGCCATTGCTGAGGCATTTCCTCAAACTCAAAGAGTTTCGACATGTTTCGACATGTCAAATATCGCTGGGCCTGAAGTCTAAAGAGTAGGATTTGCCAGCTTTGATGGTCAATAGATTGGTCTAGTCTAATAAGTCTAATATGGTCTAATGGAAAAAGTAAAAGAAAATATAGCATGCATTCGCCAGTAGATGTTCCCTTCATCCGATGCCAGTCTACAGCCCTGCAGCACCAGTGCACCATATCTGCTTTCAAGGCACTGCAAGGCTGTCGTCCAGGCATCCAGGGGGTCGGCATCGACTGCACTTTGCCAAAACCTCACTTTCTGCATCCCTCCATCTTGGGAATGGTTGAGCTAAACTGTGGTTGCAAATGTCTGGAAGCTGTCAACGTTGACAACCGTACAATTATCTGATAGATTCTGATATAATTACTTAAATTTGTTCAACAAATAGCTGTTTCGATTGTCAACTTCGCTGTGGGACCTCCCATCTTCACTCTCCAAAGGCCGCTCTGCTGCAGCACAAGGCAGGTGCCCTCGCATCACGGCAACGTTGGATGGTGCCACAGCCACTGACTCGGGACGACGTGCCTGGCAGGCACCAAGTAATGGCGACAGGCGAAAGTGCACGGTGCTGGATAGGCCCATATAAAATATCTAAAGCATCTAAAGCTAAATAGATCTGATCTAAATAAACTTAATATGATTATATTGGTTCAGTATGGTTCACTACAAGATTGATCCCTTACCAACATATACCTAATATCCCACTGCTACTTGCGTGCCAAAGCGCCAGCAGCTCGCGAGGTCGTCGCATGAAGTGCTGATCAGTTGGATCATCAAAGGCCACCTTGGCGAAATGCAGAGTTGACAAGACTAGCCATGACCAAACTGCTGGACTGGTGGAAACTATATGTCACAACAATCTCAAAAGGCTTACCTGGTGTTACCTGTCTGTAAATCTAGATATATTATGATATATTTAGTATGTCTTTGACGCGCTTTCCATGCCATGGCACATAGAAGGACAAGCCCAAGCGTCCAGCACGGCCTGCGCGACCAAACTGCTGCCGTAGCGAGGCGACACTGCCGGGAAAGCCCAGGGAGATCGTGCAGTCCAGACCTGAGGTCAGCGGCAAATCTGAAAATCTGCAGCCATCAACAGCCATCAACATCCTGATGTACCTGGGAAATGTTTTTCACGAAATCGCGTTCATTTCACAGTTATCTGGGAAAAAATACTTAATTAAGCAAGATCACAACATAGCAACAATGATCAATAGACCTATATATAGACCTATTAAATTTCTTTAAAGTTCGTAAACGTGGAACAACAGCCGCAGTGATCGACAGCCAAAGCAAAAGCCAGTAACGACCGATGTCGATCCCCAGCTCCAAGGCATTGGTGCATGCCACGCCCAGAACCTGACCGGTTGACTGATGACTGGTTGGTGGAACTGGGATCATCCATGATCGATCCTGATGTGAAACTATGTGAAACTCAATGTTTGATCCATGTCTGGATCACCCCAAACTTCCCAATTCCAGGACTTGAAAATGAAAAGATATGAAAAGTATGTGGAGGCAGCAGCGAAATGAAGAACGAATGATGAAGATGATGAAGGTTGAACATCTCAATCACAAATTTCATCTGCTCAAAAACGAATCAAGGCCAAATAAGGCCAAGATGTCCGACCTCCCGGAAATCCAAAAATCCACTAACTGGAATATACTGCTGGAATATTGGAATATCAGTTACATTTCTTGATCTTCAAGTATCTTCAAGTATCTTCGAGTATCTTCAAGTCTCATGGATTGCAACATTGCAACCCATTCGCCTTGCGGTGGAAAATATCTCGTTCCAGCTGCCGACGCAAAGCTGGTGGGTATCCTGCTCGGTATGACACCACGCGGCTGCTGAGTGCCGGCGCCTGCAGAATTCTGCCAGCTCCAAGGTGGTGGGAGGCTGAGAAGCTGCCAGCTACCATAAGCACCGGATTTCTCAAGGGAAAAAATATATGCAAAAGAAAAATGATGGTAGACTCTCTTTCAGACCCAGTTTGGAAATCCGATGAAACTACCGGGTAGTTTTCGACATCACAACTCCCGTCAAAATGATCGATGATCCAACAGGTGTGGTGAAGTCTGGTAGCCTCGCTTGCGAGCAGGGCGTCTTTCACATCCTGCAACACAATCTCCACCAGACTGCGCCACTTGCAGAAGGCCAAAACGGAAACATCACCTGGAGACGTGGATCGGATTGCCATCCAAACATCTGATCCAGAATATGTTTGCATTGGGGTGTCATCATGTCATCAACATCGCTTGCGATTCATGTGAATCAAGCTGCCCATTTTTTTCAGCTGAGACACGTGAGACCAGCCAGGCCAACAGACGGGTCACTTCAACGATGGGTGAAGATCGTGAGCCGCCCGGCACGGGGGTTCCATCCTGCTGGGTGATGTGGGAACTTCCGGTTGGGGCACCCCAACAATCGGGGAAAAAAAACATATCAAACATCCACCAAAATCCTGCAAATTCCGGCAGAATGAAGATATAAATCATTGTATACAAACTGATAAATATGAATGCACTGCATGGTATATGAAATGTGGTGTCATGGGATATTGAACTGCGGCTTGGATACCTAGCAGCATTAGACAAGTTTGCAACAAGTGGTTGATCAGTATTGATCAAATACGACGTCCTCGGGTGCTTCAGCTGATTCCGTGGCCGGCGGCTCCTTGCAGATTTGGTTAGATCTGAATCTGCTTTCAGCCACATGCCCCAGGTGATCTCAAATGATAATAATGATCACCTGAACCATCCTGAACCGAAAATTCGCTATATAAACATGATGTAACATGATGATTATCAAATATTGCCAGTTGCCATAGCAGACCTTTTGGGTGAAACTGCCATGAGCAGCGCATGCCTCCGATCCGCATCATCTGCATCTCAGTCCTCTGTTTTGATCCGCTTGGCAGGGCCCTGCTCACCCTCATCTCCATCATCTTTGGGTGCCCTGGGTCCTCGGTTCAAGCCATGTCAAGCCTTGAGTCAAGCCATGTCAAGCCTTTTCCACATCTCT